TGGAAGGATATCTTCGTAAAATGCAGAAACTGCATTCTGTCGCGAAATATCCGGATATTTGCCGTGGAATATCCGGATATGTCCGGATATATTGATATCCGGATATGGATATAGGGATATTGCAAGAGGATATCCGGATATTGATATCCGGATATTGCCTGTGAGATATCTGGATATTGGATATCCGGATATGTCCCCGAGGAATATCCGGATATTCTGGGTTTGCGAGGAACTGTAGCGTACTGTTCATCCAGAACTGATCTATGGATTTGTGGACCCTAGTTTAAGGAAGTTGAACTTCTGTAATTAAATAATGTAAGTCAGAATCATGTGATTAAGGGCTTATGGCTTGGTGAGAAGCCTTAAGACATAAAACGTAATGAAAAGGCGTTGTCTTTATGTTGTATACTTGTAGAGTATGATTGTTGATGTATTATTGGTCCATAACAGATTGTGAATCTGCTGTGTTTGGATTTTGAGCTGTGGACTCTTGGCTTTGGGTGTTAGCTTGCAAGGTAAGCTTTCGTGTCCTCGGTTTAGCCATGTTGTGGTTCCACCATGTCCCATGAAAGTATGGGTATATGCATGCTGTGTTACATGCTTTGGATATTTTGAAATGATTTTGAGCTGATATGTGCAATGGCTTATAATATGTATGTGTTGTTTCCACTTAGTCGGTAAGCTTGAGTTTGTGGCGTCATACAAGATGGTGAGTCCGTGCGTGGGTGCAAGTAGCGTCTTGCATATTGTGTGGGTAATAGACGTATTCCTGCACTTCTCTGATCAGTAGAATAGTATTGACACAGATGACATGATTATCTGCTGCATTGCACTGTTTTAGAAATGATATTGATGAACTGCTTTTAAACTTATATTGCACATGTAAGTGAGCTTGGGGTGGAAGATCCTTGAGGACCCCTTGTCTTACTGAGATTTCTTGTTTAGAGATCTCACCCCACGTTTGGGGAATGCTTATTTCAGGTTCAGGTAGTTTGGTGACTGATGCCTCTGGCGGCAGGAGGCCAGAGCTTAGCTGATTATGTTATTACTGCTTATTTGCTAGCATGACTGGACTGGAAGCTGTTTATGTTTTCCGCATTATTATTATGTTGTTGATGTTGAGACTTATGTTGGGCTTTGTTGCCTTATTTGGGTGAGCATGGGAGTGTCCATGCCACTATGTTGTTAGTACTTTTAAGTTGAGTTGTATAAACTGATAGTTGGTCCGGTCTACGTGTTGTAGTTCCGTGACTAGAGCCATACATTATGTTATTTTAATGAATGAGGTATTTCAGTTAGCTATTTTATTGCAATTGCATACAGGCGACGTTTTGAAAATGATTAACTAATCAAGTTGGTAATGATTAATGACGTTATAATTGAAAAGAAATAGATATTCTGTATTTTTAATTAAGCGCAGCTTAATACGATAGTATGATAACATAACCGGATATATACGGGGTGTTACAGAGACGCATTTAATGCACCTGCTCCATTCATTTAATGCTTCTGTACACTTTGCAGGTAACGCAGAGTTAAAGACTTCTAAAAAGCAAGGCGGTGCACCAACTGAGCAGCTGGAAACGTGAAGAACAGAGAATCAAGTGTTCTCATTGGCTGAAAACAAAAGCAAAGCATGGGAAGGTCTGCAAACAACGGCTAATCATCACCAAATCCTGTTCCATCCAGCAATTCACGCAAGCTTCACACTCTGCTGCCACAGTCCCGTCCCCTCATTCAAGCAACTAGCTCCAAAGGAATTACAGCCTTGCCACTCCTCTTCCATCTATAAATAGGACCACCCTAACACAAAAACATCATCGAATCCTGGAGGGTTTGCAGTCCGAAAGGAAGAGATCACTTAGTAGTAGTTAGTAACTTAGTTTAATTTTAAGTTGTAATTGTAGTTAAGTGACAACCCCTCTTCTCTTTTCTGTAAACAACCATCAAGACTCCTCACGAGCAAATACCCATCTTTCTCCATTTTCTGTTTCTTTTTGTAAACTGTCTTTTAAATTAATATATGTGTTTTTCTCTTCGTTCCAATCGTTATCTCTTGACTGAATCTCGGGTCTATGTGATCTCAGTTGAGAATAATTATGTTTAAACTATCAGCCATGAGCTGAACTATATGTGGAATGGGTAAACTGTGAAACTCTTAAAGAACTGTTTTCAAAACTCTTGACCTAAACTTTTTGTATTTCTTTGGCTAAGTAAGCTATATTCATTGTGTGCCAATGGAAATTGGGTACATACTGAGAAAGGTGTTAGTATATAGGTGTCCAAGAGACAATCTGTTTTATCAGATGAACACCTTTTTCGAAGTGGTATTTCATGATTTATAAATTTGAGCAAACTTTATCTTTATCATATTTATGTCTCGCCAATATTTTATTGTTAGTACGTGAAAAAAGATAAAGACCCTATGAATAGAACAGGTGTTCACTCGGGGATCTATGATAGGGATCATGATCATGAGGACTCGAGGACACTGTATGTCTATTATCTAAAATCTGTTCCTGGTCTTGAATCACAAAGAAAAGGTATTGGTGATCTCAATAAGACTAGTACGACGTCATTTACTTGTATAAAGATACGAGGTAGGAACCTCATGGAATGCAGGCATGGTGATGTTTAGATGATGTCGTGGGTGGATCTGTTAGAGAACAGATAGCACTGAACTGACCCACCGAGAGACTCCACAAGGATTCATTATAGAGAGTATCATTGGATTTGTAAAGTCTCTCATCGTTTGGTAGTGCAGATCGTCCTAGACTTAAGGATGTCATCGAATACTATGTCCTAGAGTTATACTTTGACTGTACAACTTTATCCGCCTGAAAAATGGGGAGAACAGTGTACTCTTGGGTATGACTCGAATACATGAGTATAGATGAACATGCCGAAAGGACTTCACAATCCCCTATAAGGGATTAGTCGTTCACAAGACCGGTAGGGCTTGGATGACTTCTAGTTGACTCGGGAATCTATGTATAGTAAGAGATCATGAAGAGTCATGATCTATCTTAGAGTCAATGGAAGAAGATTCCTAGTTCCTGTGAAATATTATATTTAGTCAATAAAGAGAGATGATACTCTATCCTTGCTCTCGACTAAATGTGAATGACGTTGCGAGGGAAGATGCCGGCATGGTATCCAAATTAGTAAGATAGATCACTTGATCAACTCAATTAGTTCTGGGGCTGCAGAGCATTGCTAGTGTCTTATGTGGTCATTAGATAAATTGGGCCTGTTAAAAGAGTTTAATTGATTCAAGTTTATTTATGTCAGTGACTAATTGAGCCTAATGGGTCACACACTAAGGTTATTCTTGATTGCTTACACTTAGCAAGTTTGGACCAATAAGTGTTATTGGGTTTTTCAAGACTATAGGTGTAATTGGGTTGGAGTTGAACTCCAAGTCCAATATCATCATGCGCCTTTGGACTATTAGTGAAAGATTAATTTTTCTATTAATAAGCCCAAATGTGTTAGTAGGCCCAATACGGTATTGGGCCATGAATCCTAGCAAGTCAAATAGTTGACTTGGCCAAAATAAGTTTTTGACGCAATTCGAAATTTGAATTTGAATTTTGAATTTTCGAATGTCGAATTTGAATTCAAATTTAAATTGCGGGCTAGGATAAAATCGAATTTAATTTAAATTCAAGAGGTTAGGTAATTAAGGATAGTTTTGAATTATCCTTATCTGTATCTAATATGATTAGATAGAGATTTATTATTTCTATTTTATTTGAATTATGAATTTAAATAAAATTATATTTAATGTAACGTCTGTCTCTTAATGCTGATTACGGGATTTGATGAGGAAACATTAATGTAACGTCCATCTCTTAATGCTGATTAAGGGATTTGATGAGGAAACGTTAATGTAACGTCCATCTCTTAATGTTGATTAAGGGATTTGATGAGGAAACGTTAATGTAACATCCATCTCTTAATGTTGATTAAGGGATTTGCTGAACCACGTTAAAGTAACGTCTTTTTCTTCAGATCAAGATATACAGCGCCTCTCTGGACTAAAATCCTAATTTTTGGCCGCCCCTCTTTCTCTTCATCTCTCTTCCTCCATTATTGGTCCTCTCACATAACCTCAAGACAACATTACAGTCTTGAGAAAAATAAACAAAAGCACTTGAAAGCCTCCACCTTGCCGCAGCCTAGCGAGCTTCCAAGGAAAGGGAGGGTTCAGGGAGAAAGCGTTTCTCAGAAGCAACCATGATCATCCACCATGTGTTTGATTTTCAAAATTTAAATGTTTTATTTTGAATCTCAAATATCGTATTGCGACTAGTATGCATGTTAATATTAGACGCGATAACCCTACGACTAGTATGCATGATTAGAAAAGCCGCTAAAACTGAACTATGTGATAGTTAGTTTTGTATATCTAATTATGCGTGCAATATAAAACGGACAATTAACGATGAGACCGAAAATGAACCCTCACATAATATTATCTAGCGCATTAGATTGCCTCCCATCATCGGTGGAACTCATAGCCCTTCTACATGGTAGTGCTCTCTAGCTCAGCTAAGACCTGTTATTTCGTTGGGAACGATGCCATTCGAAGTGTACGACATTTAGGGTGATGGTTTGTGCTAGACTAAATGTGTAGTCTGCAGGCTCAGCCGGGTCTATGCATTTAGGGCAATGATGCCAGGTTGTTACATAGTGATGTGACACAAAGTGACAAAGAGTTGTCAACCTGATGATCTAAGAGAAGACATAGAGATGTTGTTGATTAGATCAACCCACTAGACAAGTTACTTTTGCAGGCTCAACCAGAAACTAATGAATTTAGCCGTTCTCTTAGCCCGCTACGGATGTCTTTGTGAAGGATAACCCTAAATCAATCACTGAGGGTCATTGACTTTAGAAAAATAGTGGGAGAACCATATACGTTTAAAAGTCTCCGTATTTGGTTATTAATCATGAAATACTTATGTATGTTTATCTTTATTTTCAGCAATTGAGTTATGGCCGGAAATTTTAGTTTACACTCTATTCTGGATGCTAATAAGTTAACTGGTCCAAACTTCACGGATAGGTATAGGAATGTAAAAATTATTTTACGTTCTGAAAAGATAGCGTACGTCTTGGATTCTCCTGTTCCTGTTGCCCCTGCTGAAGGGCAAGATGGGCATGACCAGTATGACTGGGAAGCTCATAGACAGCATTTGGCGGACAATGAACAGGCAGTATATATATTGCTTGCGTCTATGTCTGTGGAGCTTCAGCGTCAGCATGAGCATATGAATGCTCCCTCCCTTATCTTGCATTTGCAGGAGCTTTATGATAAGCAAGGGAGGGCTGAGCGTTTTGAAACCTCCAAGGAGCTGTTTGGCTGCAAAATGATTGAGAGCACTGCGGTTGGACCGCACGTCCTCAAGATGATTGGGCTGATAGAGAAACTTGCTTCTCTGGGTTTTATCATGGACCATGAGTTAAGTATTGACTTAGTCCTGCAGTCCTTGCCGTCTTCATTTAATGGTTTTGTGGTCAACTACCATATGAATAAGGTGGAGACAACACTCCCAGAATTATTGAATCTCCTGACCACTGCTGGGGGTGCTGTTAAGAAGAACATAACCCAAGCTCTTCTGATTGGCGGTTCTAAAAAGGCTAAGGGTAAGGGCAAGTCTGTAGAGACAGACAAGCTCAAGCCCAAGAGCAAGCCCAAAAAGAAGAAGGGCAAAGACAGGGGTAAAGGAAAAGGGAAGTCCAAGGACAAGGCTAATGTTGTATGATTCCATTGTCAGAAGGAAGGACATTGGAAGAGGAACTGCCCATTGTACCTTGCGAGCCTCAAGGAAAAGAAGCATGGTGATGCTTCCACCTCTGGTATGTTCACTATAGAAATTAATTTTTCAAGTGTTGATTGAGCTTCATGGGTATTGGATACTGGCTGTTGATCTCACATCTGCAATTTGTTGCAGGTACTAAAGAGTCCTAGGAAGCTGGAGAAGAATGAGATCAATCTCCGCGTCGGGAATGGAGCAATAGTTACTGCTCTTGCTGTTGGGAATGTGGATCTTATATTTCCTACGGGCCTTTCTTTACATTTGAATAATTGTTTCTATGTTCCGTCTATTTTCCGAAACATTATTTCTATTTCTAGTTTGGAACAATCTGGTTTTCACTTTATAATAAAGGATGGAAAGTTTTCCATCATTAAGAATGATCTTGTTTATGCTTGTGCATCGAGGGTGAATGGATTGTATGTTTTGGATTTAAATACGGATAGTGACATTTTTAGTATTCAAACTAAGAAGCCAAGATTAGATAATCGATCCTACCTTTGGCATTGTAGATTGGGACACATTAATGAGACAAGACTGTTTAGACTCCATCATGATGGTTATCTAGATTCCATGGATTTTGAATCCTATGGGCTTTGTGAGTCTTGTTTGGCTGGTAAAATGACGAAAACCAAGGTTGAGAAACTTGCGAGTCAATGTTACTAGAACTCATTCATTCTGATGTTTGTGGGCCTTTATCTACTCAGGCGAGAGGAGGATACTCCTACTTCATTACCTTTACTGATGATAAGTCTAGATACGGATATGTGTATCTTATGAGACACAAATCTGAGGCCTTTGAAAAGTTCAAAGAGTTTAGGAATGAAGTAGAGAAACAACTTGGCAAGATGATTAAGACACTTCGATCTGATCGGGGTGGCGAATATCTGAGTCAGGAGTTTCAGGATTATCTAACCTTACACACCACATCAAAATGGTGTGTCAGAGAGGAGGAACCGAACCTTGTTAGACATGGTACGATCGATGATGAGTAGTACGAAGCTCCCAAAATCGTTTCGGGGATTCGCTCTGCATACGACGCTACACCTACTAAATAGGGTTCCGTCGAAATCTATTCTGACTACTCCTTATCAGATACGGAGGGGCCGGAAACCCAACTTGAGTTATCTCAAGGTATGGGGTTGTCCAGCTTATGTCAAGACCCTAGCACCTGAAAAGTTAGGAGCTAGGAGAACGTTGTGCTACTTTATAGGTTATCCCAGAGAAACTAAGAGATACTACTTTTACTACCCTGAGGACCAAAGAGTCATTGTGTCAAAGAATGCTGGTTTTCTTGAGGAAGACCTTCTTTCTCAAGAAGATAGTGGGAGTAAGGTAGAACTTGAAGAAGTTCAAGACCTACATGAACAGATAGCGGAACCCGAGTCTGTTGATCAGGCGATGCCTCAACTAGAGGCCGTAGACACCCAGCCTCGTAGGAGCACTAGGGCTAGTCATCCACCTGAGAGGTACGACTTTGTGATTGAGAATCAGCAGACCGTTGAGGAAGACGAGCCTGCTTCTTACACTGAGGCCGTCTAAGATGTTGATTCCTCAAAATGGCAAGAAGCCATGGAATCTGAAATAGATTCAATGCATCAGAACAAGGTATGGACCTTGGTTCCACCACCTGAGGGAATAGTTCCTATTGGGTGCAAGTGGGTTTTCAAAAGGAAGACTGATGCTGATGGCAACATCCAAACCTATAAAGCTAGGTTGGTTGCGAAGGGTTACCGTCAAAGACAAGGAATTGACTTTGAGGAAACTTTCTCGCCTATTGCCATGATCAAATCTATTAGGATCATGCTAGCGATAGCCGCATATTATGATTATGAAGTTTGGCAAATGGATGTCAAAACCGCCTTCTTGAATGGTTTCTTGAAGGAGGAAGTGTATATGACACAACCTGATGGTTTTGAGTCCAAAGGCCAAGAGCATATGGTATGCAAACTTCAGAGGTCAATATATGGGAATAAGCAAGATTCCAGCAGCTGGAATCTTCGTTTTGATGAAGTTGT